TGTCCCCTTAGCAGAAAAACACCCCCAAAGCATAATGTTTCCACCTCCATGTTTGACGGTGGAGATGGTGTTCTTGGGGTCATAGGCAACATTCTTCCTCCTCCAAACACGGCGAGTTGAGTTGATGCCAAAGAGCTCCATTTTGGTCTCATCTGACCACAACACTTTCACCCAGGTCTCCTCTGAATCATTCAGATGTTCATTGGCAAACTTCAGACGGCCCTGTATATGTGCTTTCTTGAGCAGGGGGACCTTGCGGGCGCTGCAGGATGTCAGTCCTTCACGGCGTAGTGTGTTACCAATTGTTTTTTTGGTGACTATGGTCCCAGCTGCCTTGAGATCATTGACAAGATCCTCCCGTGTAGTTCTAGGCTGATTCCTCACCGTTCTCATAATCATTGCAACTCCACGAGGTGAGATCTTGCATGGAGCCCCAGGCCGAGGGAGATTGACAGCTATTTTGTGTTTCTTCCATTTGCGAATAATCGCACCAACTGTTGTCACCTTCTCACCAAGCTGCTTGGCGATGGTCTTGTAGCCCATTCCATCCTTGTGTAGGTCTACAATCTTGTCCCTGACATCCTTGGAGAGCTCTTTGGCCTTGGCCATGGTGGAGAGTTTGGAATCTGATTGATTGATTGCTTCTGTGGACAGGTGTCTTTTATACAGGTAACAAACAGATTAGGAGCACTCCCTTTAAGAGTGTGCTCCTACTCTCAGCTCATTACCTGTATAAAGGACACCTGGGAGCCAGAAATCTTTCTGATTGAGAGGGGGTCAAATACTTATTTCCCTCATTAAAATGCAAATCAATTTATAACATTTTTGACATGCGTTTTTCTGGATTTTATTTATTTATTCTGTCTCTCACTATTCAAATAAACCTACCATTAAAATTATAGATTGATAATTTCTTTGTCAGTGGGCAAATGTACAAAATCAGCAGGGGATCAAATACTTTTTTCCCTCAGTCGTGGTCAAAAGTTTTGAGAATGACACAAATACTAATTTTCACAAAGTCTGCTGCCTCAGTTTTGATGATGGCAATTTGCATATACTCCAGAATGTCATGAAGAGTGATCAGATGAATTGCAAAGTCCCTCTTTACCATGAAAATGAACTTCATCCCAAAAAAACATTTCCACTGCATTTCAGCCCTGCCACAAAAGGACCAGCTGCCATCATGTCAGTGATTCTCTCGTTAACACAGGTGAGAGTGTTGACGAGGACAAGGCTGGAGATCACTCTGTCATGCTGATTGAGTTAGAATAACAGACTGGAAGCTTTAAAAAGGAGGGTGGTGCTTGTAATCATTGTTCTTCCTCTGTTAACCATGGTTAGCTGCAAGGAAACATGTGCCGTCATCATTGCTTTGCACAAAAAGGGCTTCACAGGCAAGGATATTGCTGCTAGTAAGATTGCACCTAAATCAACCATTTATCGGATCATCGAGAACTTCAAGGAGAGAGGTTCAATTGTTGTGAAGAAGGCGTCAAAAATATCTCATAACACTGAAGCAGCGAACTTTTTGAAGACCAATCCTTTATTTTATATTTGAGCTTCTTCAAAAAGCTACCCTTTGCCTTTGACAGCTTTGCACACTCTTGGCATTCTCTCAACCAGCTTCACCTGGAATGCTTTTCCAACAGTCTTGAAGGAGTTACCACATATGCTTAGCACATGTTGGCTGCTTTTCCTTCACTTTGCCGTCCGACTCATCCCAAACCATCTCAATTGGGTTGAGGTCAGGGGATTGTGGAGGCCAGGTCATCTGATGCAGCACTCAATCACTCTCCTTCTTGGTAAAATAGCCCTTACACAGCCTGGAGGTGTGTTGGGTCATTGTCCTGTTGAAAAACAAATGATAGTCCCAATAAGCCCAAACCAGATGGGATGGCGTATCGCTGCAGAATGCTGTGGTAGCCATGCTGGTTAAGTGTGCCTTGAATTCTAAATAAATCACAGACAGTGTCACCAGCAATGCACACCCACACCATAACACCTTCTCCTCCATGCTTTACAGTGGGAACTACACATGCAGAGATCATCCATTCACCCACATCGCGTCTCTCAAAGACACGGCGGTTTGAACCAAAAATCTCAAATTTGGACTCCAGACCAAAGGACAAATTTCCACCGGTCTAATGTAATTTGCTTGTGTTTCTTGGCCCAAGCAGGTCTCTTCTTATTATTGCTGTCCTTTAGTAGTGGTTTCTTTGCAGCAATTCGACCATGAAGACTTGATTCACACAGTCCCCTCTGAACAGTTGATGTTGAGATGTGTCTGTTACTTGAACTCTGTGAAGCATTTATTTGGGCTGCAATTTCTGAGGCTGGTAACTCTAATGAACTTATACTCTGCAGCAGAGGTAACTCTGGGTCTTCCATTCCTGTGGCGGCCCTCATGAGAGCCAGTTTCATCATAGCGCTTGATGGTTTTTGCGACTGCACTTGAAGACTTTCAAAATTCTTGAAATGTTCCGTATTGACTGACCTTCATGTCTTAAAGTAATGATGGACTGTCGTTTCTCTTTGCTTATTTGAGCTGTTCTTGCCATAATATGGTCTTGGTCTTTTACCAAATAGGGCTATCTTTGTGACAAGGTAGGGGTGCTACCTTGTCACAACACAACTGATTGTCTCAAACGCATTAAGAAGGAAATAAATTCCACAAATGAACTTTTATGAAGGCACACCTGTTAATTGAAATGCATTCCAGGTGACTAACTCATGAAGCTGGTTGAGAGAATGCCAAGAGTATGCAAAGCTGTCATCAAGTCTCCTGAGTGGCGCAGTGGTCTAAGGCACTGCATTGCAGTGCTAGCTGTGCCACTAGAGATCCTGGTTCAAATCCAGGCTCTGTCGCAGCCGGCCGCGACCGGGAGACTCATGGGCAGCGCACAATTGGCCTAGCGTTGTCCAGGGTAGGGGAGGGAATGGCCGGCAGGGATGTAGCTCAGTTGATAGAGCATGGCGTTTGCAACGCCAGGGTTGTGGGTTCGATTCCCACGGGGGACCAGTATGAAAAAAAATAAAAATATGTATTCACTAACTGTAAGTCACTCTGGATAAGAGCGTCTGCTAAATGACTAAAATGTAAATCAAGGCAAAGGGTGGCTAATCGAAGAATCTCAAATATTTTGATTTGTTTAACACTTTTTTGGTTACTACATAGTTTTGATGTTTTCACTATTATTCTACAATGTAAAGAATTGTAAAAAGTGGAATGAGTAGGTGTGTCCAAACGTTTGACTGGTAGTGTACATATTAATATTAAATTCAGTGATTGAAATTACTACCCCATCCTCAGTAGCCTATTCCAGCAGACTATTGGGACACACAAACACTTTTTACCTCGAAATCGCCAAACTATTCATGTCGAATAAAGTAGTCTGGTAATTTGAACTAAGCAAGCTGCTAAATCGTTCAGTTTACATCTTGCCTAGGCTACTGTAGACTATCTGAAGATGTAGGCCTATCAGGGGCTATAGGTTACCTGGATCTATCCAAGCAAACCATGGCAAAGTTTAATTACAATCATAAACCCAGATCTTGGAAATGGGCCATTTATAACTGTTTGTAGTCTTAAAATCTGGCACATAATAATGGCACAATTGCCAGAAATAGCCTAACATTCGTCCAAGTGTTTCTTGCTCAGAGATTGAGATCCTCTCTCCAACTTTCATCACTCAAACTCTCCTGTCGGATTTATCAATAGTTACCCACATGCGCAAAATGGATTTATTTACAATTATAAACTGTGTTCGAGCCCTGAATGCTGATTGGCTGAAAGCCGTGGTATATCAGACCACATACCATGGGTATGACAATAAATAGTATTTTACGTTGTTTATAATACCAATAAGGCACACTGGGGGTTTGTGGTATATGGCCAAAATACCACAGCTAATGGCTGTATCCAGGCACTCCGCGTCGCGTCATGCTGAAGAACAGCCCTTAGCCTTGTATATTGGCCATATACCATACCCCCTCCTGCCTTATTGCTTAATCAGCAGTCAAACGAGTTAAATCGACATTCATTGATGGAAAATGATCTGGTGAGTAAGCTATATTTAGTCGCCAATGTTTATTGAAAACACATACATTTGCACAATGAGCACTTGTTGTCTCTCAAGTACATCCATACAGTTGTTGGCAAGTTAACATTAGCTCACGAGCAAATTTGAGCCATATTAGCAATTGACATGAAATCAGTCAAAACACTTAAAAACAAGACATGGTATCAAGAACAAGATGAAACGAGCTTAAACGAGCCACTTACGATTCCCCACATGGCAGTTTCTTGTCATTCTTGCAAGCAATCTGGCTATGCAGAATCACAACAACACGCTGACTTCTGCCCCATGGAAGCGCGCACATCGTTTCGTGATGACGTCAGCTAACCCATCTATACCACAGATAGAACAATGATAGATATTTCACAAGATGTATACATGTGAAGCATCCGGTTGGTGTTTCCACTCACTACCAAATATGATAATATGGTGATGAGCGGAAGCCCAGTGGCCGGCAGTGGAAGAAGATGAAGCGAAATGGATTTTGGCCGAAATTCTGCAAATTTTCTCATCGATGAAACATTTGATCTCCATGCAGTTTTCTGTTTCCAAAACTAGAATCTGTAACAAACAGAGTGGACTCCGTTTTGTAGTCTTTACCCTTTTCCAAAGTTTCTAAAAATTGCATTGTTTAGGAGTGCAAGGGCGAATTGAGTTATTGCACACGCGCACTTCACAGAGTAGGCGTTCCCTAACAGAAATATGCAGACAAATGCTAGAACACGCCAATAGGATCTCACTAGCTAGTGCTTGGCTCTGCCCATCTCCTTGCTTGTTTATTCCCACTATGATTAATTTGCGCCCATTGGAAACGACAGGCTATCTTGGGTTAGTTATACAAAATATTTGTATATACTGTTGACAAACGGAAAATAACTCGCGTGCAGTGTTTTGATTGGCCCTCATGTTTTCCAAACCGGAAATGGCATGCCCTCGAAATTGACAGCACTCCCGAAGATGGCGGGGGTGTTTGAGGTGGAGGTTGATGGTGTAGAACACGATCATGGACTCGGACATCACGATGAACCAAATCAGGTTAGGGTACCACATGTGTTACGGTTGTAGAATCAGAAAAAACGAATTGCGTGAATTGTGAAGTGCTCACAGCCAAGGCAATATGGACTAGACCTGCCTCTTGCACCGGCTAGTAAACGTCACACGATGTTAGCTTTGCTAGCTAACTAACTTCCCAGCTGTCTTCCCTTTTAGCTAGACAGGTAGGCTATCATGAGTGCATGTCTCTATTGAGTGCATTAGCAAAACCAAGTATATTATAGTGCCGTCAGCTACAACACAAACGTACAACTTGAAGGGCCATCATCATCACGCCCTTGTCTTGTACATGGTAGCTGATAGCTAACTATTTAGCTAGGTGGCTATTTAAGTAGCCAAAGATATCTAACTAAATGGATCATTCTGGTTTAGCTGCCTCCAATTTGCTGCTTTTGCTTGACAACCCGTTTCCCTTTGCAATAACAATTGCATCAGTGATGTAGCAGTAGCTAGCACTCATTAGATGGCACTCCATGCAATAGCTGATGTGGCAGACTGAGTCAAAGGTCATCTAGCTGACGCCTAATCCATCCTCTGTCCTGGCAGCTCGAGCTCTCTAATCACTATTTTGGACCAAAGGCTAGTGTTCTCACCATTTAGCTATAATGGACAGAAACGGTGCCTATTCTCTTTGTTGGCCAGCAGGGTTCATCCCTTGTAGTATTCACATGTCTGTCCACAACCGACAGCCTCCCAACCCAAATGATCACTGATCAGAATACAGACTGATTTAACGTTTTCATTTTTGATGCAATCATTGTATTTTGTAGATATATTGTGACTGTTTATTTCAGAGGTTCTATGTGAATGTATGTATATGTAGATTTGTAACTAATTGATTTAGAAGCGTTTGGAATCATTGTGAATGTCTGTTTGGTTTGTTTTCACTTTAGGTCGACTTGTCCCATCTGTCACCGGAGGAGAAGTGGAGGTCAGTCTCTAAACACAATTATTCATTCTGACTGCAAATTAGATTTACATCACAAGTCAAGTCAAGTTCAACATTATCTTGTTTTGATGCAGTCTGATTATTGATATAATGTAGAGCCCTTAGTTTATCAATGTTTCCTTCCAATGAAAACTGGTATGATTGTGACTATTATAAGAATCTATCCAGATACTTAGTGATTTATCATATTGGATACCCATGCCTGAGCTCTAGGTTGATTGTAGTCTATGTGTGTTTGTGTGTGTGTGTGTGTCTGTCTTCATAGGTTGGAGCATGCCAGGATGCATGCAAAACACAAGGGCCATGAGGCCATGCACGCTGAGATGGTGCTGATCCTCATTGTCACCCTGGTCATTGCCCAGCTGGTCCTTGTGCAATGGAAACAGAGGCACCCCAAGTCCTACAATGTAAGACACACAGACAATCTCACTCTCGCACTGCACAGTCATGCTCACGCAGACACACAAACACATGCTGACTTGCGTGCAGAAGAGGAAATACACAGCATGCCCTGCACACACCTGCAGGCAAATCATACAAATCATACTTCACATACTGTACAGACAAAATGTCCACAGACCAGCTTCTTCAACTGTACACTGTCTGGTTCTCAGGATTATTCAGCCTCAAATTGAACTATGTGTGTCTGTGTGCGTCTGTACTTTAAAATGTGTGTTCTCTTCTCCTAGCTGGTGACTCTGTTCCAGATGTGGGTGGTCCCTCTGTACTTCACCACCAAGCTTCACTGGTGGAGGTTCCTGGTCACGTGGTTAATCTTCTCTGTGGTCACTGCATACGTTACCTACCGCGCCACACGTAAGCCACTGGAGTGCACCACGCCCAGGTAAGGCCCCCTACACAAGGCCAGGTAGTATCTACACACATCCATATGATACCTCATAATATACAGAATGCCTAGGTGATGCATGATGAAATGGTCATGGTAAGAGGTCAAAAGTCTCAAACCCAACCTGTCTTGCAGTAAGTGCTACTTTAGTCAAAAAAATGATCTATGTTTCTTCACATTCACCTCAGTTAGCTGAAATATGTCTGAATGTTCCCTTGTTTCTGTGGACAGGCTGGTCTACAAATGGTTCCTCCTCCTTTACAAGATCAGCTATGCTACAGGGATAGTGGGCTACTCTGTCGTTATGTTTACACTGTTTGGCATTAACTTGATATTTAGGTAAGATCTGGTTATTTCTTGGCATAATTGTGTATTTATGGACAATACCAGTGGTTAACAAGGATCATCCTTGTGTAGTTACAGTGGGGGAAAAAAGTATTTAGTCAGCCACCAATTGTGCAAATTCTCCCACTTAAAAAGATGAGAGAGGCCTGTAATTTTCATCATAGGTACACGTCAACTATGACAGACAAGTTGAGAAAAATTAATCCAGAAAATCACATTGTAGGATTTTTAATGAATTTATTTGCAAATTATGGTGGAAAATAAGTATTTGGTCACCTACAAACAAGCAAGATTTCTGGCTCTCACAGACCTGTAACTTCTTCTTTAAGAGGCTCCTCTGTCCTCCACTCGTTACCTGTATTAATGGCACCTGTTTGAACTTGTTATCAGTATAAAAGACACCTGTCCACAACCTCAAACAGTCACACTCCAAACTCCACTATGGCCAAGACCAAAGAGCTGTCAAAGGACACCAGAAACAAAATTGTAGACCTGCACCAGGCTGAGAAGACTGAATCTGCAATAGGTAAGCAGCTTGGTTTGAAGAAATCAACTGTGGGAGCAATTATTAGGAAATGGAAGACATACAAGACCACTGATAATCTCCCTCGATCTGGGGCTCCACGCAAGATCTCACCCCGTGGGGTCAAAATGATCACAAGAACAGTGAGCAAAAATCCCAGAACCACACGGGGGGACCTAGTGAATGACCTGCAGAGAGCTGGGACCAAAGTAACAAAGCCTACCATCAGTAACACACTACGCCGCCAGGGACTCAAATCCTGCAGTGCCAGACGTGTCCCCCTGCTTAAGCCAGTACATGTCCAGGCCCGTCTGAAGTTTGCTAGAGTGCATTTGGATGATCCAGAAGAGGATTGGGAGAATCTCATATGGTCAGATGAAACCAAAATAGAACTTTTTGGTAAAAACTCAACTCGTCGTGTTTGGAGGACAAAGAATGCTGAGTTGCATCCAAAGAACACCATACCTACTGTGAAGCATGGGGGTGGAAACATCATGCTTTGGGGCTGTTTTTCTGCAAAGGGACCAGGACGACTGATCCGTGTAAAGGAAAGAATGAATGGGGCCATGTATCGTGAGATTTTGAGTGAAAACCTCCTTCCATCAGCAAGGGCATTGAAGATGAAACGTGGCTGGGTCCTTCAGCATGACAATGATCCCAAACACACCGCCCGGGCAACGAAGGAGTGGCTTCGTAAGAAGCATTTCAAGGTCCTGGAGTGGCCTAGCCAGTCTCCAGATCTCAACCCCATAGAAAATCTTTGGAGGGAGTTGAAAGTCCGTGTTGCCCAGCGACAGCCCCAAAACATCACTGCTCTAGAGGAGATCTGCATGGAGGAATGGGCCAAAATACCAGCAACAGTGTGTGAAAACCTTGTGAAGACTTACAGAAAACGTTTGACCTGTGTCATTGCCAACAAAGGGTATATAACAAAGTATTGAGAAACTTTTGTTATTGACCAAATACTTATTTTCCACCATAATTTGCAAATAAATTCATAAAAAATCCTACAATGTGATTTTCAGGATTTTTTTCTTCTCATTTTGTCTGTCATAGTTGACGTGTACCTATGATGAAAATTACAGGCCTCTCTCATCTTTTTAAGTGGGAGAACTTGCACAATTGGTGGCTGACTAAATACTTTTTTCCCCCACTGTAGTCATTTTATCTCAGAATCCTTCAAATATGTTTTGATTTATGGAAGTGGCGCCAGAGCTTTCTTTGCGAAGTTGTAAAGTTTTAACCATGATAATAGTGTCTATTGATGTTTTTGGTTTACTTTATTTCCAGAATAAAGCCAGAGGACGCAATGGATTTTGGTGTGTCCTTGCTGTTCTATGGTCTGTACTATGGGGTCCTGGGTAGGGACTTTGCTGAAATGTGTGCAGACTTCATGGCATCGACAGTGGGGGTAAGTATCCAGGGCCTGTCAAGTTGGTAGTTGTACAATATCTCACTGACTAGTTTTTTTTTTATAGTAAAGGCTGTGAATCTGTCCAGCAACATTACATTGTGTCTCTGTCTTCTCTAGTACTACAGTGCGTCTGGAATGCCCACCAAGCACCTCTCTGACAGTATCTGCGCTGTGTGTGGCCAGCCCATTCTGGTCGACGTCAGCGAGGAGGGAATCATCGAGAACACCTACAGACTATCCTGCAACCATGTGTATCCTTTATCATTTAAGAAATATTCTCTAGATAAATATGCACGTAGGAGCATGATGTTGTGGTAGAACTGGTTTGTCTGTTGCATAAAAGCTGTAACTCTGTCTGTCACGGAAAACATGTGGTGTACGCACACAAAAGCCAAAGGGAAATTGACCAAACAAACATGCGCATGAACTTTATCTCTGAGATATGACTGTTGTTCCCGTGAACATCAGTAACACTGTACCATGTGCCCATCCCACTTCCTGTTTCTATAAATAATGGTGCCCTATGTCGTCTCCTGTAATGACTCTTCCATGAGGTGAAATGTCACGTTTTATGGCATTTGTGGTACCAATGTTCACATTGAGGACATCAGATTTTAATAGCTTACTGGTGAGCTTGCTGATATGGTTATTACAGTGTGCCACAGGGAAGTAGGAAAAAACCATCCAGAATTGTGTATTTCACCAAGCAGTTAGCTATGCCTACAGCGTTTGACCCGATTTGACCTAATGTTTCATATTTGGCCATATTTTGCAGTTATTCTCATGTTTTTTAAGATTGAATGCACACAAATGTAACACCACCCCTCCACCTTCTACCTGGCTCCTTAACTCTCTCTGCCTCAGATTCCATGAGTTCTGCATAAGAGGATGGTGCATCGTGGGAAAGAAGCAGATATGCCCGTACTGCAAAGAAAAGGTGGACCTGAAGAGAATGTTCAGTAACCCGTATCCTTTACTCTTCTGCGCTCATATGAGTGTTTGATGTCTAATATGTCTCTTTCGTATTGTGTGTGTGTCTGTCTTTTGCTCTCATGTTGCGATTTGTCTCACTCATTGTGACTCATTGTCACTAATTGTTTCGCCCAGTGTCCTTGTCTGTTGGTTAGCATGATTGGGATGACAGGGTCACACAGTACAGAGGTCAAGTTAGTTTCACTCTGCTTGGTCATGATGGGAATAGGTTGTGTTTCCTATAAATGCTAAAGTATTGGGAAGTTTACACACAGTGATGTTGTTCATTGACATGTAAACACAAACTGTTACGGATGTTCCAGAGATGTTATTGTCCATTCCCCACTATCAAGACTGATTCTAGTAAGGTCCTGAAAGATCTCACAATATATTATCACAGACTGGATATGTGAATTGGTTTGTAAGGGTTTGGTTTGGGGGTGGGGTCGTCACTTGTTTATATCTCCTTGACCCATAATACGAAGCTGGGAGAAGCCACATGTCATGTATGGACAACTCCTGGACTGGCTCCGCTACCTTGTTGCTTGGCAACCTGTAATCATTGGATTTGTCCAAGGCATCAACTACATCCTGGGGTTGGAGTGACCTGGGAAAGTGGAGGAGAGGGACACACAAGCAGTATGGAGATGGAAGATACTTCACTGGTCTGACTGAGGGAGACTTGGAGTCCTCACCATGGACTATACGAACATCTATTATAAACTGTGTCTATACCTGTACTATTTGTATAGATTTATAGGCACATAGTATCTGTATTTAAGATTTATTTGAATTTTACAAGAAATCTGGGTTTGGATGTCGGTTTAATTTTAATTTTTGTTTAGTCTATCACAACTAAAACAAATGCAGTGTACATTTCATAGCATAGTAAAATGGTTCTCAGTTTTTTGATGGAGATGCTTTTTCAAAATAATTTGTCTTAACTTTTCTTGTTGATATTTGTTGGATTCTACGGTAATGAGTGGTTAACACGGCTCAGATGAATGAGTGGAGTGTTGCAGAGTGACAGTCTTTCGTTTTGTGTGTTAAATCCGCGCCTTTTGTTAGTGAAGGTCCTGGTTGAATGTGGCGGCTGGGGGGAGAGTTTCTGGTTCCTCAGGAGCACTAGTCTCAGACAGTGTATCCTATCCTACTACAGTCATCTTTTTAAGAGGGGCACTCTTTCTCCAATATGCCCTCCTCAAGCCTCCCTCAGACGGCCTCTCCTGTCTGTATTCAGCCCAGATGGCTCTCCAGGAACAGGTACTGTAAAAGACAGTGTATGCAAAAAGGTGAATAACATTTGATAATTTTGGTTGTTTACTTTATTGTCGTGTTTTTGTTCTTGTCTGTTAATAAACGTGACGCAGTCAAGCTCAGGTGTAGACGTTACTTAATTTAGACCATATTTACTTGAATAGAATAGGTAATGACCTGGGGGATTTTGTATATAGCTTCCTGTATGTCAAGTTCTGGGAAAGAAACTTACCAGACCGAAACTTCTGGATCAGGATTGGGGGTCACCCACTGAAATATTGTGTTGTCAGTTCTGTGAGAAAATACAGCATGTTGATCAAAATATATTAATCTGTATTTCACCCCAATATTTCACATTTGTTAAATGATTCATGATCATGTGTTAAATGAATCTCCATATTATGCTTGGTAAATATCAGCATAACTTGCGCACAGGGAATTCCCTCTTGTGTGTCAGTTTGCATGTTTGTTTAGGGTGGGTGGTTGAAGAGGAAGTGACTGTGTGTATATATAGTAAGTAAATGAGGTAGTGTTGTTAGAACCAGCATTTGTTGACCATCTCACAGTAGTCAGACAGAAGCCCAGTATGGAGTTAACAATTCCTCTCACCGGTAAGAGATCCTCTAACATTCTCACACACACCTTCACTGATGTATGCTGAGTATGGGAATATTATTATTTTCTGCTGCATATGTATCTACATTTCTGTGTTTGTGTATGTGCCTGTTTTGCAATGGCTGAGGGTGTGCTGTATCTCTTCACTACAGCTTTCCTGGGATTTGACAGGATCCTGCCCTCAGAGGCCTCTAAAGGTGTGTGTGTGTGTCTATCTGCCTGCCTACATGATTTTTCAACATTTCAAAGGGTCTCTAACTTCAATTGTTATTGTCCAGATTCCACACAAGTGCCATCTCCCAGAATTCTCCAGCCCATAAGGTTCAGAATAGGAGCTGTTCTAGGTAATGAATTCTGCTATCTCACAGTTTTTATTAAAGTGGTAATATCAATCATGGCCATGGATACTATGAAGTGTTTAAACTCACAGAACCCCTGGTCTTCACCACCGTGTTTTAGAACCTGGGTTCTGGGTATACGGTCTGATAATTATATTCTGGTGTAGATAAGGACCACAGTTTTTAACAAACAGGATGTGCTTGTCATACACAGGACAGCGGTTGGTTATTGAATGTAAGGCAGACCCAGGCCTTCCTGATGACTTTGCCCTTGTCTACTGGCTGGTCAACAGCACATTCCCAGAGGTAGCCTACACTGATGGCAGAGTATCAGAAACAGAAGAGTAAGTACTGGGGTTTGCTTCACATGCAGACATTATTGGAAGCTTTGAAGCCTACGCCAAATCATGACTCTTACTTTTTCTTATGCGTGTAGAGCAGGCAAAGTGTTCAGTATGAGTTCTGTTCAGCTGTTGTACTATATAATATGTGGAAGGAGTGTTGGCTAAGTGTTATAAATGTGTTGTTTTTAGATCAGTTTCAGAGGACGGCAGGGTGATCCAGAGGAGTCTGGTGTTTAAGAGCGTGACTGCAGAGGACTTCAGTTCCACCTTTACCTGTGTGATAAGCAGCCCGGCTGGGCTTGACCAAAGGACTGTCACACTGATGCACAATCACACGGCTAGATTTCCCACTCCTTCACCCACTCCCAATACCAAACCGAGGCGAGAACAATGAGAGGAGATATAGGAAAAAGGATCAAAGAAAAACACGCCAGCAAGAAATGAGAAGATAGATGGTCTTAGTCCACTCGTGTATCATCAATAGTTAAGTGAAAAAGACAATGAACACTTACCAACAAAAAGCCCTTCTATTGCTCTATCTACTGGCAATAGTCAAGTATGGATTCTAACGCAATAATATTGAGGACTCAAAAATAATGACTAACAAAGGATGGATTAAAAAAAGAATACATTAAAACTGTGACCATACACATGTTTTTTGCACTGACTCACAACTGTAACCTAGATTAAAGACAATGTAGTTCAGAGGGAACTTCTCTTCATCTGCCCTTATTCTTTCACATCTCTGTTAGAAATTGATTAAGTTGTGTTTTATCATAACAAAGCGACACCATAAATGTCCTGGAAGTAGGCAGCCATTGCAAATAAGATTGTATCATGTAATTTGTGTGCACCTTGTAAGCACATCTCAAGCATTGATAAGAGTGCATTTACATCAGCTCACTATTTATGTAAAGCATGATAACGACAATGTTATATTTTGTGTATAGTTAATACATGTGTGATGGCCTATAAATATACATTTTCAATGGGATTAATTGGTTTCACAGTACCTTTTACTCTTATTTTGATAACCCCTCACAGTAGCCGAGTGAGTGACCTCACTGCCTCTCTCAGTAGTATAGTGTAATGCTACTGCCACCTTGTGGCTGCTTTTCTCATTACAGATTTCCACTTACCCTTTCCACAGTTATTTATATTTTGTTACAAAGCAACCCTGAAGTATCCATATGTTTCTTCCCCAATTCCCTTAACCTAGCAACACTCTCTTTGTCTTTATAAATACTGTAGCCAGAGTATTGCCAGTGGTTATTCAGAGAGTTAGAGCGGCTGTGGCTGGGAGCTTCAGCACCAACCCCTAGCTCGTCCAGGCAGCACTGCAGGTTGGCGTTCCTGTCAGGGTGGTGGTTCTCTTTGATCTTCTTCCTGATGATGGAGGCTGTCTCCTCAGAGACAGAAGAGCACTTGCTCTTATTGGGTAGGAAGCGTTGCAGTAGCTCCTGATTGGCGTTCTGGGCCATGCCCAAGAGGAAGCGCAGGAAGACGTCCAGGTTTCCATCGGGGCTCTGCAGGCTCCTCTCTATGGCGCTGCGGTGAATGTCCAGCAGACCGGGGTTCTTGAACATGAGTGAGAACTTGCTTTTCAGCAGCTGCTCTAGCATGTTGTTTCCTGTGCACCTCCAGGTGAGGAACACGTAGAGAGCAGCCAGGTATTCCTGCATGGTGGAGTGGATGAAGGTCTGGACCTTCTCCTGGTACATGACAAACTGCTCGATCAGGAACTCAATGTACAGGACACTCTTGGTGACGGCCTCAGCGACCTCCACCCCGCAGTCCTTCCAGGTGGCCTTGTCAATGACCATCTGGTTCTTCTCCAGCATTGTGAAGGCCAGCTTGCCAAGCTTCATCAGGAAGTCACTCTCCTCTTCTGGGGTGCAAGAGGCAGAGCCCCTGGCGCCACGCACACGCAGGTGCACCAAGAGAAGGTGGGTGTACATCAGGGTCAGCCCCTTGGGCAGCTCCACATCCGGCCCCTTCTCCCTGAACGTGCGCTGGAACAGTCCGCACACCACCCAGCAGAACATGGGCAGATGGCACATGATGTGGAGGGTCTTGCAGGAGGTCTGGTGGGCGATCTCCTTATCGGCCTGCGCCGGGTCCTCAAATCTTCTCCGGAAGTACTCCTCCTTCTGTTTGTCAGTGAAGCCGCGCACCTGCAACACCTGGTGCACAGCCTGTGGGGGCAGCCGACTGGAGGTGAGCGGGCGGGAGATGATCCAGAGGAGGGAGGAGGGGAGCAGGTTTCCCCTGATCAGGTTGGTCAGCACCACGTGCATCATGGCCGGCTCGGTGCTATCACACCAAGTCTCTGTGCGGTGGAAGTCCAGGGGATGTGCATACTCGTCCAGCCCGTCACAGACGAACATGACCTTGCCGTCGACGCACTCGAAGGTGGGCAGCACCTTGGTCTCAGGGTAGAGGGTGTGGACGATCTCCAGGAGGCTGGTCTTTAGGTCCAGCATGAGGTTGAGCTCTTTGAAGGGCAGTGGGAACAGGAAGAAGACCTGCTTGTGCTCCCACTCCTCGGCCCAGTCCATAATGAACTTCTGCACGGCCACAGACTTCCCCACCCCGGCGATGCTGTTGGTCACTATAGATCTGACATGCTTCTCATAGATCATATTGGGGTCAAATATTTACCTGCAGGTTATCAGCTTCACCTTCTTGTGATTGGTGGACAGCTTGTCAATCTTTCTGACCTCGTGTTGGATATTGGGTCCAGCATTGCCTCCGTCTGTTATGTAGAGCTCATTAAAAATACTGTCAAAGGCCTTATGGTCTCCCTGCTGGGCAAAGCCCTCGTGCATACTGCTATACTTCCTCAGCAGAGTGAGTCTCAGCTCATAACGCACCTCATCTGCACAGAGAAAAACAGGGGAAAAGGAGACATTAAAGGCACAATTTAGTATATTTCCTCCTGTTCAATGGCCATTTCAATGAATTATTTTAGTGTATAGCCCATTGGTTCTTGAAGTACTGTATAACGTATAAAAGCCTAATGAGCTTAGTACAACTATTCATATAATAATTCAAAGTATATATATTTTTATTATACTGAAAAAATATATAAACGCAACAATTTCAAAGATTTTACTGAGTTACAGTTCATATAAGGAAATCAGTCAATTGAAATAAATTCATTAGGCCCTAATCTATGGATTTCACATGACTGGGAATACAGATATGCATCTGTTGGTCACAGATACCTTAAAAAAAAGGTAGAGGCGTGGATCAGAAAACCAGTCAGTATCTGGTGTGACCACCATTTCAAATCAAATCAAATTTTATTGGCCACATGCGCCGAATACAACAGGTGCAGACATTACAGTGAAATGCTTACTTACAGCCCTTAACCAACAGTGCATTTATTTTAAATAAAAAAGTAAAATAAAACAACAAGAGCAGAAGTAAAGTAACATAACAGTAGGGAGGCTATATATACAGGGGGGTACCGGTGCAGAGTCAATGTGCGGGGGCACCGGCTAGTTGAGGTAGTTGAAATAATATGTACATGTGGGTAGAGTTAAAGTGACTATGCATAAATAATTAACAGAGTAGCAGCAGCGTAAAAAGATGGGGTAGCCATGATTAGCTGTTCAGGAGTCTTATGGCTTGGGGGTAGAAGCTGTTGAGAAGTCTTTTGGACCTAGACTTGGCACTCCGGTACCGCTTGCCGTGCGGTAGCAGAGAGAACAGTCTATGGCTAGGGTGGCTGGAGTCTTTGACAATTTTGAGGGCCTTCCTCTGACACCGCCTGGTATAGAGGTCCTGGATGGCAGGAAGCTTGGCCCCAGTGATGTACTGGGCCGTACGCACTACCCTCTGTAGTGCCTTGCGGTCGGAGGCCAAGCAGTTACCATACCAGGCGGTGATGCAACCAGTCAGGATGCTCTCGATGGTGCAGCTGTAGCATTTTTTGAGGATCTGAGGACCCATGCCAAATCTTTTCAGTCTCCTGAGGGGGAATAGGCTTTGTCGTGCCCTCTTCACGACTGTCTTGGTGTGTTTGGACCATGATAGTTTGTTGGTGATGTGTACACCAAGGAACTTGAAGCTCTCAACCTGTTCCACTACAGCCCCGTCGATGAGAATGGGGGCGTGCTCAGTCCTCTTTTTTTTCCTGTAGTCCACAATCATCTCCTTTGTCTTGGTCACGTTGAGGGAGAGGTTGTTATCCTGGCACCACACGGCCAGGTCTCTGACCTCCTCCCTATAGGCTGTCTCATCGTTGTCGGTGATCAGGCCTACCACTGTTGTGTCGTCGGCAAACTTAATGATGGTGTTGGAGTCGTGCCTGGCCATGCAGTCATGGGTGAACAGGGAGTACAGGAGGGGACTGAGCACGCACCCCTGTGGGGCCCCCATGTTGAGGATCAGTGTGGCAGATGTGTTGTTACCTACCCTTACCACCTGGGGGCGGCCCGTCAGGAAGTCCAGGATCCAGTTGCAGAGGGAGGTGTTTAGTCCCAGGATCCTTAGCTTAGTGATGAGCTTTGAGGGCACTATGGTGTTGAATGCTGAGCTGTAGTAAATGAATAGCATTCTCACGTAGGTGTTCCTCTTGTCCAGGTGGGAAAGGGCAGTGTGGAGTGCAATAGAGATTGCATCATCTGTGGATCTGTTGGGGCGGTATGCAAATTGGAGTGGGTCTAGGGTTTCTGGGATAATGGTGTTGATGTGAGCCATGACCAGCCTTTCAAAGCACTTCATGGCTACAGACGTCAGTGCTACGGGTCGGTGGTCATTTAGGCAGGTTATCTTAAGAGTCCTTGGGCACGGGGACTATGGTGGTCTGCTTGAATCATGTTGGTATTACAGACTCAGTCAGGGACATGTTGAAAATGTCAGTGAAGACACTTGCCAGTTGGTCAGCACATGCTCGGAGTACACGTCCTGGTAATCCGTCTGGCCCTGCGGCCTTGTGAATGTTGACCTGCTTAAAAGTTTTACTCACATTGGCTACGGAGAGCGTGATCACATAGTCATCCGGAACAGCTGGTGCTCTCATGCATGCTTCAGTGTTGCTTGCCTCGAAGCAAGCATAGAAGTGGTTTAGCTCGTCTGGAAGTCTTGTGTCACTGGGCAACTCGCGGCTGTGCTTCCCTTTGTAGTCTGTAATAGTTTTCAAGCCCTGCCACATCCGACGAGCGTCAGAGTCGGTGTAGTACGATTCAATCTTAGTCCTGTATTGACTCTGTGCCTGTTTGATGGTTCGTCGGAGGGCATAGCGGGATTTCTTATGTTTCCTGTAATCCATGGCTTCTGGTTGGGGTATGTACGTACGGTCACTGTGGGGACGACATCATCGATGCACTTATTGATGAAGCCAGTGACTGATGTGGTGTACTCCTCAATGCTATCTGAAGAATCCCGGAACATGTTCCAGTCTGTGCTAGCAAAACAGTCCTGCAGCTTAGCATCTGCGTCATCTGACCACTTTTCTATTAACCGAGTCACTGGTGCTTCCTGCTTTAGTTTTTGCTTATAAGCAGGAATCAGGAGGATAGAGTTATGGTCGGATTTGCCAAATGGAGGGCGAGGGAGAGCTTTGTATGCGTCTCTGTGTGTGGAGTAAAGGTGGTCTAGAGTTTTTTTCCCTCTGGTTGCACATTTAACATGCTGGTAGAAATTAGGTAGAACGGATTTAAGTTTCCCTGCATTAAAGTCCCCGGCCACTAGGAGCGCTGCATCTGGATGAGCGTTTTCCTGTTGATTTATGGCCTTGTACAGCTCATTCAGTGCAATCTTAATGCCAGCATTGGTTTGTGGTGGTAAATAGACAGCTATGAAAAATATAGAGTCTTGGTAAATAGTGTGGTCTACAGCTTATCATAAGATACTCAGGCGAGCAAAACCTTGAGACTTCCTTAGTATTTGATTTTGTGCACCAGCTGTTGTTTACAAATATACACAGACCGCCACCCCTTGTCTTACCGGAGTCAGCCGTTCTATCCTGCCGATGTAGCGTATAGCCCACTAGCTGTATGTTGTCCATGTCGTCGTTCAGCCACGACTCGGTGAAACATAAGATATTACAGTTTTTAATGTCCCGTTGGTAGGATAACCGTAATCTTAGGTCATCCAATTTATTCTAAAATGATTGAAGATTGGCTAATAGGATTGATGGGAGAGGCAGTTTACTCGCTCGCCGTCGGATCCTTACAAGGCACCCCGACCTACGTCCACGATATCTCAGTCTCTTTCTCATGCGAATGACGGGGATTTGGGCCTTGTCGGGTGTCTGTAGGATATCCTTCGCGGCCGCCTCGTTGAAAAAAAAATCTTCGTCCAATACGTGGTGAGTAATCGCTGTCCTGATATCCAGAAGCTCTTTTTGGTTATAAGAGACGATGGCAGAAACATTATGTACAAAATAAATTACAAATAACGCGGAAAAACACAAATAATGGTACAATTGGTTTGAGGGCTGTAAAACGGCAGCCATCTTCTCCGGCGCCATTCTCATTTGCCTCATGCAGCGCAACACATCTCCTTCGCATAGAGTTGATCAGGCTGTTGATTGTGGCCTGTGGAATGTTGTCCCACTCCACTTCAATGGCTGTGCGAAGTCGCTGGATATGGGTGGGAACTGGAACACGCTGTCGTACACATCGATCCAGAGCATCCCAAACATGCTCAATAGGTGTAGATGTCTGGTGAGTATGCAGGCCATGGAAGAACTGGGACATTTTCTCCATGGGACATTGTCAGCTTCCAGGCATTGTGTACAGATCATTGCGACATTGGGCCGTGCATTATCATGCTGAAACATGAGGTGATGGCGGCGGATGAATGGCACGACAATGGGCCTCAGGATCCCGTCACGGTATCTCTGTGCATTCAAATTGCCATCGATAAAATGCAATTGTGTTCGTTGTCCGTAGCTTATGCTTGCCCATACCACAACCCCACCGCCACCATGGGGCACTCTGTTCACAATGTCGACATCCGCAAACCGCTCACCCACAGGACGCCATACGGTTGTGAGGCTGGTTTGACTTACAGCCAAATTCTCTAAAACGACGTTGGAGGTGGCTTATGATAGATAAATAAACATTTAATTCTCTGGCTACAGCTCTGGTGGACATTTCTGCAGTCTGGGATCTTTTATTTCAGCTTATGAAACATGAGACCAACACTTTACATGTTGCGTTCATATATTTGCTCAGTGTATATTACATTAATCAAATGAAATAAAGAGGACGTGCATACTTCTCTTGCAAATGTCAGTGAGGAAGTCAGCCAGGCGCTTGAGGCCCATGTCCTTCAACAGGGCCTTGGTGAGCTGCAAGGCCACCTCTAGGTCATAACACTCCAGCAGTCTGTCCACCAAGTCCACCATGTCCATGCCCTGGGGAGGAGCGCTGAACGACTCTGGGTAACGATTCCACAGCGTGATTTTAATCTTCCTCAGATCATCCTGCCCCAGCTTCTCCAGTGTCTTCCTGATGGCCTTGGATCCACAGAATGAAATACAAATAAGAAGAGAAGAGAAAAGAAGAGCAATTCTCTAACTCATCCACTCAACTCTCAACTTTGGGGACATGTTGACATTTGTGGCTGAACACACAGTACATCAGCCCACCTTGAAGGTGAAGTCTACAGTCAGGGCAGGGTGCCTCTTCTCATCTGGGTTTTTGATCAGCTCTGGTCTTGGAGGAAGTTCCACTGCAGGACCCTCTGCTTTAGGTGCAGAACTTCGAGACCTGGAGAGGTGGTGGGAGATGAAATATCACTACACATACTGGTGCATGAGCATTCACACAGATATGACCACTTTGTAAACAAATGGACATACATCCACAAACACCCACATTATACTCCCACTAAACCCAGGAACAAATACTCACAAAAACATATACATAATTACCCCATAAAAACACACTTGAACATAGTTTTCATCCTGTCTGTGACTGATAAATCATGGAGGACTGTTCTTACTTCCTGGTTCTGGTCTCACAGTCATCACTGTCCAAAGAGTAGCAGCTGGAGTAAGACTGTTCTTTCCAGCTGGACTCTGTAAATAGAACATCACATGGACAATGAATCATCAGCACTAGAGTGAAACAGTGGTGCTTCAAGGAGCCGTCTTGAACATAATAAGAGAATACATATGTTGACATACTGTAACCCTTTACAACAGTCTGTAAAAAACAATGTGTAATTCAAGTGTATTTGTTATGTGAGTGAATGCTTTTGTACATGTTTTTTTCATTGTACTGCATGTTAATGTAAGTGTATGAGTGTCTATAAAGTCAACAAGCATGTTTTAGTGTACCTAGTAGCAGATGGTTCAGTTTCTTCATCCAGTTCATCCGATTGACAGAAGTCATCACTGTTGACGGAATTGTAGCTGTGGACCGGGGATCGAGCCCTTTCCACATCATGCCTACCAAACACACACACACACCAAATATGAATGATTGAGGATGGATGGTGAAAGGATCAAGACTTGGACAAACAGGAAACTTTATTGTGGGCACGTGACATGTGCTGTGTGTTCTGGTATGGTGGTCACCAGTGAGTCGTGTCCATTGGTCTAAGGCCATCTTCCAGGTCCAGGGAGGGTCTCCTTTCAGGCACATAGAAAGTCTCCTCTCCCTCATCAGACACAGAGATACTACTTCTTCCTCGGCCAGACACCCCCTCTCCAAACGGAAAACTGACATCTGATATTGTGTCCCCTCCATCATGTTCCATCGTGTCAGCCCCTCGCCCTGCCATCCTGGAGAACCTCAGGGGTACAGGTTCAGGGTCACAGTTCAAAGTCTGAAGTCAATGGCTACTTGACCAGTGCCAGACAGCACACACCTGTGGATGCAATAAAAAAATACACGCACACCTGTGGATGAAGGTTAAATATTGACAGTAGATCAAATGCATGTAAACATACACCACCGTTCAAAAGTTTGGGGCCACTTAGAAATGTCCTTGTTTTCAAAGAAAATCATTTTTTTTGTCCATTAAAATAACATCAAATTAATCAGAAATACAGTGTAGACATTGTTAATGTTGTAAATGGCTAGTCTCAACGTCAACAGTGAAGAGGTGACTCCGGGATGCTGACCTTCTAGGCAGAGTTGCAAAGAAAAAGCCATATCTCAGACTGCCCATCTTCATCTTTTCTTTGTATTGGCCAGTCTGAGATATGGCTTTTTCTTTGCAACTCTGCCTAGAAGGTCAGCATCCCGGAGTCACCTCTTCACTGTTGACGTTGAGACTGGTGTTTTGCAGGTACTCTTTAATGAAGCTGCCAGTTGAGGACCTGTGATGCGTCTGTTTCTCAAACTAGACACTCTAATGTATTTGTCCTCTTGCTCAGTTGTGCACCGGTGCCTCCCACTCCTCTTTCTATTCTGGTTAGAGCCAGTTTGCACTGTTCTGTGAAGGGAGTAGTACACAGCGTTGTACGAGATCTTCAGGTTCTTGGCAATTTCTCGCATGGAATAGCCTTCATTTCTCAGAACATGAATAGACTGATGAGTTTCAGAAGAAAGTTATTTGTTTCTGGCCATTTATAAATAAAATAAATAAATAAATTGGTCATTTAGCAGACGCTCTTATCCAGAGTGACTTACAGGAGCAATTAGGGTTAACGCCTTGCTCAAGGGCACATCGACAGGTTTTTCACCTAGTCGGCTCGGGGATTAGAACCAGCAACCTTTCGGTTACTGGCACAACGCTCTTAACCACTAAGCTACCTGCCGCCCGGAGCAACTGAGCCTGTAATCGAACCCACAATTGCTGATGCTCCAGATACTCAACTAGTCTCAAGCAGGCCAGTTTTATTGCTTCTTTAAATCAGCACAACAGTTTTAAGCTGTGCTAACATAATTGCAAAAGGGTTTTCTAATGATCAATTAGCCTTTTAAAATTATAAACTTGGATTAGCAAACACAACGTGCCATTGGAACACAGGACTGATGGTTGTTGATAATGGGCCTCTGTACGCCTATGTAGATTTTCCATTAAAAATCAGCCGTTTCCAGATACAATAGCCATTTACAACATTAACAATGTCTACACTGTATTTCTGATCAATTTGACGTTATTTTAATGGACAAACAAATTGGCTTTCTTTCTGGAAAAAAAAGACATTTCTAAGTGACCCCAATCTTTTGAATGGTAGTGTACATTCATCATAAGTAATTCTATAACCATTACAGACTTGCAAGTAGGCAACTCTTACCATGAAGAAATACCGACGTGTTCTGTTTGAGGCAAGCTTGTTTTGAAACCTCTCTGCTCCTAAATCCACTTTTTGTGTCACTTAAGCCGATTCAATATACTAAAACATCATATTTACGCATTCAAAATACACTTAACACAACAGAAGGGACAAAAAAAAACGTCTCTAATGTAACGGTTAAAATGCTCCATATTTGTCTAGACAGGGCCGCACTAAAGTATGGTCCGACAAAGACAAAACTGTAGTAGGGCTACTTTCACTTTCAAAGGTACCTCCTACTAAGGGTTGCCGGGTCTAGTTGAAATATCTAGACCAATGATCTCTCAAAACCCGCCCACAAGGCCTGAAAACTAGCCCAACATTTGTTTTCCATAAGGTTATCAAATTAAGAAGGAAATCGATCTAACTACAGGCTAAGAAGCAAACTTCGGTTTTCTATCAAAATAATAATGATTGCGAGCTTAACAATATGTTGCAAGAGAAAATATAATTTGCCCTTAACTCGCCACATACTTTTCCATCAATGGATGTCTAGTTAACTTGTTTTGACTGCTATGATTAAGCAACAAGGCCAGAGGAGTTGTGGGATATGGCCAATATACTACAGCTAAGGGCTGTTCTTAGGACACCAGCCCTTAGCTGTTGTACAGTGCATTCGGAAAATATTCAGACCCCTTCCCTTTTTCCACATTTTGTTACTTTACAGCCTTATTCTAGAATTGATTAAATTAATATTTTTCCTCATCAATTTACACACTACCCCATAATGACAAAGCAAAAACTGTTTTTTATAAATGTTTGCAAATGTATTAAACTCAAAAAACAGAAATACCTTATTTACATAAGTATTCAGACCCTTTGCTATGAGACAAAAAATTGAGCTCCTGTTTCCATTGATCATCCTTGAGATGTTTCTACAACTTGATTGGAGTCCACCTGTGGTAAATTCAATTGATTGGACATGATTTGGAAAGGCACACACCTGTCTATATAAGGTCCCACAGTTGACAGTGAATGTCAGAGCAAAAACCAAGCCATGAGGTCGAAGGAATTGAGCGCCGAGACAGGATTGTGTCAAGGCACAGATCTGGGGAAGGGTACCAAAAAATGTCTGCAGCATTGAAGGTCCCCAAGAACACAGTGGCCTCCATGATTTTTAAATGGACAAGGGGTCTGAATACTTTCCGAATGCATATAGGCCTACCACAAACTCTTGAGGTGCCTTATTGCTATTATAAATGGGTTACCAATGTAATTAGAGCAGTAAAAATACATGTTTTTGTCATACCTGTGGTAAATGGTCTGATATACCATGGCTATCAGCCAATCAGCATTTAGGGCTCGAACCACCCAGTTTATTACATTTTAGATTTTAGTCATTTAGCAGAAGCTCTTATCCAGAGCGACTTACAGTTAGTGAATGCATACATTTTCATACTGGCCCCCCGTGGGAAACGAACCCACAACCCTGGCGTTGCAAGCGCCATGCTCTACCAACTGAGCTACAGGGGACTAGGCAAATTGTACATTTGTTTATAATTGTAAATAAATCCTGTTTGTGCATTGGCATAGCTATAGATAAATCCGACAGGAGAGTTTGAGTTATGAAAGTTGGACAGAGGATCTCGAAATCTCTGTGCAAGAAACACTTTGACAAACTTCAAAAAACGAATGTTAGGCTATTTTCTGGCAATTGTGCCATTATTATGTGCCAGATGTTAAGACTACAAACCGTTATAAATAGCCAATTTGCGAGATTGACTTGTTATTTCAATAGGCAGGTCGACATTAGAATGCAGTTTACTTTAAGCTACCTCTGAGTAAATGTATCTAAAGCCTCTAGTGTGCCGAAAGTCGTTTTCCGTGGCCTTCATATCAGTTCTAGCACGTTAATATGTTTAATAGAAAAAGGGCTGGAAATAGGTGTCTCCATAATGACCAATCTAAATAGCCTACCTACAACTGGTAAATGAATTGTCACGACTTGTCTGCTGGCTTCTGTGTCTCCGTGACTCAGCTGCCTGCTGCAGCGCTCACTCAACCTGTGCTCTCAACACACACACACCCCCTCCCCACCACTCACACAGTAACAGCCTGCTCACTGCCTTATCGTCACCAGCAGCAGGTCACAGTGAATAACTTATATATTCTTTAAGAGAAATGCCATGGTGGCCGCCGTGCAATTTAAAGGCGCTGCATGGTCAATCTGCCGTCTGCATTGGCCGTTCGGCATTTACGGTGATACGGCCTCTGTAGAAGGCTGGGTATTCATACTTCTTACTCTTAGAGGAGTAGTGCAGAGCTGTTGTGAAGGAAGTTGTCAAGGAAGTCAGTTTGTGTTTATACAGGATCTCCCGCCCCCACCTACTGTCAACCAATCATGCCAACGCAGAGCTATAGGGAGCCCTCCGCATTGTTCCAAAGTTGGGCGGCGCATGGTGATGCAGTACGGAGCTCAATTTGGCCTCTTGCATGCCTCAGGAGGCTCCGATAATAGCGTCACACCATCCATACCGCAACTCCGATCACATTTTCGGATCAAGCATAAATTGGCTAAGTAGCCCAAAAACCCGCAATCCGCGACCAATACATTTTCACCCGCGGAATCGTTTTCAAAGTATCCCAATTTCAGGAAAACGGCGAACGCCTCCTACCTCCATGGTCTCACTTGGTCGTAGTTAAAGAGACCGCGGATGGTTAGACCGCAGCGTTTCTAAACCCAGAGGTGCAACATCGCGAGACTTCCGGGAATGCTTGCGACACAGACCAAACAGACCAGGCCGGGGTTTGGGGTTTGAGAAGTCAATGAAAGATGTGAAAAATTATTAATGAGTTGTTAATTTTCTCGAAATCTAAAGGCACAACCTAGAGTCGAGCCAATGTCTTAAGTAGTTGAACATGTTATTACTCCAACCATGTGAAAGTGACAAACTGACACGTTTTCATTTTCGTCAAAAACAACTTTATATCGAAGGAGTGCCTTTAATTTGACGACATGCACAGTTCGGCGCGAGACGACCGTTAGACCCGATGACGTATTTCTACCCATGAGCTTTCAGCCCACGTTGCCATGACATCATTTTTACATTTTAGTCATTTAGGAGACACTCTTATCCAGAGCGATTTACAGGAGCAATTAGGGTTAAGTGCCTTGCTTAAGGGCACATCGACCGATTTTTCACCTAGTCGGCTCAGGGATTAGAACCAATGACCTTTCGGTTACTGGCACAACGCTCTTACCCACTAAGCTACCTGCCGCCCCAGGTCGCCTAAATCGGCTACAAGTATGATCTGGGATCTATTGGAGAAACAGTTTTAGCCTATCTTCATACTGTACTGTCTTTGGTTAGACCATCGATATACAAAATGTAGTCTGAATCAATTTAATCGTTTACCAGCGAAGACTGGACCTATACGAAGAAACATGCTTGCGACTGCGAGCTGCACAGAGGTGACACAATCCGTCCCCTGTCAACTGTAGGTGAGGGTCGTCACTAGTTTCCACAGCCGCAAAGTCATAAACCCCAATTTATCT